GCACATTTGCAAGCGATTGCGCAATCGCGCTGCCAATCGCTCGACCGAGAGCGATTGGCAAGCGACGGACAAGCGATTTAGATGCGTATCAGCGGACTCTGACATCGCGGCTTAGCGCGTCGAGGTATCGAAAGCGCGAAACGATGCGCCGCCTCCACTTCACCTGATCGATAGATATACACCTCTCTCAAAAGGATTCGCAGATTCGAATGCGCGATTCGAAGCTCCTCCCATTTTTGTGGATCGATACGCATTTGAATCTTTTCGCAGATCCGCAGATTCGTTCGTTTCGAGCGTTTTTCGGCTATGGCGCAAGGTGTGAACAGAGAGTGGCATACTTTCACCACATGGTTTTGCACCGCTCGCTTGCTCGGACTTTGAGGTGGGTCGGTGGGTGGATCATCTCCTATATCGTGCCGGAGAAAGCATGAGGCAGCGCAGCTTCTCATCGGTGGCACACTGGCGAACAACCTTGACTGGTCCCAGCAAGACTTGCACGTTTGCGAGCAGAGTGGCAAATTTCCCGCCCTCGTCTGTGCTTTCTAACCGAGACAGTGAATCAGAGCTTTTGCGAGGGTGTTAGCGGTTAATACAGATTGGACACGCCCGCTTTAAGCCGCTCGCATTTCGCATTTCGGGATTAGGTGTGGCTCGTATTCCCAGAGAGATATCTCAGTGTGACCTAAGCAAAAACGCGCGAACGGAGAAGCATCTTTCCACATTGGTGAATTTAGGAGCTTCTTACTCGCCTTAGAGCCACATTCACTTTCGACCTTTTCAGCGTGCAGGGTATGCGCCGATAGTATTCCCGTGCTCCAGTCACGTTCTCACGCCATGGAGGACGAGAATACTACGCTTTCCACGGACGCAGACACTTTCCCATGATTCGAACGCATGCAACATCCAGAAGTGCGGGAAGTGCTCTGCATCTCTGCCTCGGCCGCGCTCGTCTGCCAGCAGTCAGTCAGTCGTCGTCCTGTCGCCTCGCCGAGCGGTTGCGTCTACGAAGTCCTCAGCCTCGGTTGGAGCCGGTCATCATCTCACCATCATCGTCAGCCACAGGATCGGCCAGCATGCCCCACCGCTTATCCTACCGGTCGTACCCAGATCTCTTCTTAACATCATATCGTTTTCTCCTCTCTTGAGCAATGTAGATCATGGTAGCATCAGTCAATAAAGTCCTTAAAGGCACAACCCAGGCAGAGGTCGTGTGAACGCTTCTTCGGTCTGTAGTATAGACCCTAGAGGACAATCACAAATGTGGCGTTCCCGTGCACGGAAACCAACCGACAAGAGCGCTTGGGCCTTGCAAAGTAAGCTGCTGAAGCTGCAGATTTTCTTATCAGGCTGTTGTCTGGCGCTCTCTCATCTGTAGCGCTCTCTCGCCTCATACTCTCCTCTCCGCGCTTAGTCTCTCATTCCCTTAGCACAGCCGATTAGGAAGGTGAGTGAGCCCTTAACCTAGCGTTTTTGACGGATTCTTTTCCTTTTTTCTTTACTGCCGGCCCACTTCGCACCAATACATTCGCATTCGTGTGCAAGAGCCACACCAATGTGATCCTGGGGCATGCCTTTAATACGTAGTGTTTTGTATTGCAGCAAAATATATACACATCTTTATTAGCATAGTACAATAGCCTTAGTCGTCAGCTGCTGGGTCAGGGAAAGGGCCAAATCCAAGTCCGCCGCAGGCATAGTCATCAGAGAATCATTCTAGTGCGACGTTGTTCCCCGTAGATAGGGTGTCGGGCCTCTTATTATACCCATCAACTCCGTGATTCTGAATGCTCTCTGCGATGCAGTCCCCATTTCGGGTGCACTCACAGTACTGGAAAGCTCGCGGTTGCTCTACGAGGGGAGGTCGTTCAGGGCGTGGAGCGCTTTTTGAAAACGGTTTTTTGCATGAAATAGGGGCAGGTGCAGTGAACACAGATCTATGGTCCATTTCCGCTAAATGGCCTTCTGAATGCCAAAAAAGGAGTGAGAATCATTTTGTTGGAAACTGCAGTTTTTACTTGTTAAAAGTGGTGTGTTTCATTCATGGCGTGGACTACTTGCGTAATGGAGGGTCTTCTAAGGTGTGTCTCGAAAACATCGAGAAATTTGGTCAAAATTGGAAAGTTGTCGTGGTGGTGTCATGCTGTGTGCTAAAGAGCGTGTGGAAGTTCCATAAGAGCATTTGGCCAACATCCTCCAGCAGCGTCGGTGGTGTAGTGGTTAGCGATGGGGATTTCGATTGGCACGCTTGGTCTGGGTTGGTGGTTCGGATCCCCGAGGCGTCGGGCTTTTTGCATTTTTTGTAGGCACTTCACGATTTTCTCCAAATAGCACAGGTGCCAAAATGGATGTGTTATTCAAGACCAGAACTATTGATAACCCAGATTAGGTAAGTTTTCACCGAAAGCAGGCAAAAAAAAGTTGTACCGTTGGAATTTCGCCGGATAGCGGCGGCTCCAAAAAACAATGCCACATTCGTGACAAGAGCACCAATTTACCTCTGTGCCAACGTAAATACTCTTGGCAATCCTTTGCACCTAACTCGAATGACATAAGTAAATCTTACAAGTAAGTATTCCCACTCGCTCGGAGGCGAGCTCCGCACGGAAAACTGGCAGAAAACTACTGCACTGTGGGTGACCCTCCGACCAACACCAGCTTGCTTGTCTGCTATAGTCTATTCGGCAGGAGCATCTCTCATTTTTTGAGGACTATCTAGATGATGTCATTTCCAAGAAGTTCATCCGTCGAGCTTTACTTGCCACAGAGTTTACTTATTCATCTAGCAAATTTTCGAAGTCGGGCCAAAATCTTGATTTTCTTAGAAACATCGACTAGAAGGGTTATCAGGTGCCCTGATTATGAATACAATATTCGTTTGTAGCTCCGACATCATTTCGGGCCCCTATGACGTTCTTCGACGGCACCTTGGTGAAGTTTTTGCGTCACAACTTTCTCTCACCAGTTTTTGGTAAAAGCCCACTTGTAAGGGTTTTTGTAAGCCTAATTGTAATTATGACATCAATTGCTGGTGTTGGCGTTCTTCGGTGCCAATTTTGTGGCGCCAAATCACAGTGCAAAAATTTTGTCACCGCGGGGAATCGAACCAAGGACCACTTTCCCACCCTTTTTTGGCATTCAGTGGGCCATTTAGCGGAAATGGACCACAGTTCTGTATTCCAGGCACATCCCTCTATATCATAGGAAAAACCATTTTGAGAAAGCGCTCCACGCCCTGAACGACCTCCCCTCGTAAGTAACTTCGGCTTAAAAATGACGTGAAGAGCGACGTGAACTGACTTTCTACGTGCGCGGCACTGCTGATATTGTCGCCAAACCTTCAAAGGCCTGTGTCGAAGAAAGGACCAAACTTTCAGAATTTCCTGTCTTGAGTGACCACTTTCACTCAATCATTTCCTCATTTCTCAGTCAAATTTGTTTGTTAGCCCGATCTTCAGAAGTTGACACAGAAAAACTTGGCATCCTATACTTTACAGTCATTTCTTGTGAGCCCATTAAGCATTCAATAATTGCTAGGGCTCCAATGGAACTTTTATCTCGAAAAAAGATTGATCGTGGCCAAGCAGTCAATTTTTTCTTAATACTGATATTGTTTACGAAAACAAACAAATCGCGAAGTGAAGTGAAGTCCTGCTTTTCGACAGTAAGGAAAAGTGGTTCCAACATCGGAGATATTGTTTTCAACAACAATGTCTGTTGTTAAATCCTCACGCAACAGGGGAACCATATGGTCATGTAGGGACACCGAAAACAACGATGTTTTCAATGTTCCTACATGACCATATGGTAAACATCGATGGTCATATAGGGACATTGAAATCGTTGTTTTCGATGTTCCATGATGGAACTTCCATTCCACGTTTATCCTATCAACGAGTTGCGGCTCCCGAGATTCACTCTCGGTTTCCATCATTCCTAACTGATAGTCATTAAATTTTGTGGATCAACATTTCATCATTAACAGATCCTGTGACTTATCAAGGTTCCTTCCTTTCATTCACTGCTATAGTAGACAAATGCTTCAAAGTGCCTTTTTAGCACACTAGTTCAGAGTCTGATTTGGGATCACCCTCCTTGACTAACGCCGTATCAATTCTTCGTCACATCTTCGATATAAGAATAGACCATAAGAAACTTATTCACAGTTTTTCTTAGCACTCGTTTGATCTTCCTCAGTATTAATTGTCGCCTATTGTTAGCACTCGACTATGGAATGACTACATAGAACCAATGGATGTAGAGCAGGTTGCTCAGCCCAAAGCGGCACGCTTCTGTGGGATACGGATATCGCTGCAATCATCGCGGCCATGAAAAGCAGATCAACCAGGACCTTCAGCAGTACTCACACTTCCACACCCTATGCCCTCGTTTGTGAGGAAGGGATATGCTTCGCAATACGAGTTTAATGATTCCGTTTTGAAAAATCTCGACAAAATCAACAAGTCCAGCATGGGGAAAGAGGATGCAGAGCTACTCCAGTCCGCCACTGATTTGATCAAGGGTGAGAAACCCGACTCCCAAGATTGCGGTTGAACACCCGAGAGCTTTTTTATCCTCGACAGCAAGAAAGAAGCAGGAGCGGTGAAGGATTCAGATTTTTCGGAATTCTGGTGAAAATAAGTAAAGAAGAGAACAGCGAGAGAAAAAGCAGCTCTGTCCGAATGTCTCCCCAGCCTTCGAGGGTGGGAACGGGTTGGCGCCTGATCCCCGATCTATCAGCTGAACTTCAAGGTTTAATCCCTACCACCCGGTGGATCGACAAAGACCTAGGAGTAGCTTCTCGCCTCGCGTCTCTTACCAAAAATATTGCAAGGAGAAGCCTGAGAGAGCTAGAAGCCCTTGCTTCTTGTGTGGGCATGAGGGACACTGGAGAGATGAGTGCCCCAGGAGGAAATAGTGAGTTTTATGCTGATTCTGTTCATGATCACGTTTCTACGTGGGCGGCTCTTGAGCGGGTGCATTGGTTCTCGACACCATAATGAATGGCTACACTACATCATTTGATGAGGCCCCTGAGCCCTAACCCAGAGGTGGCAATCGAGTCCATTGCAGATCTGCTAGCTAATGGAGCGATAAAGCAAGTATCAGGATCACACATTCCAAGCCTATTTGTACATCCACTCAGCGTAGCAAATGGTAAGAAATTGAGGCTTGTCTTGGATCCTTTCCTCGGCTTAACAGAATTGTGACGAAGGAGCATGCTAAATGCTTTGATGATATGAGTAAGATTCAACATCTTCTACCTACAAGGGTTGTATGGCAACTTTCGATCTCAAAAGTGTTTATCACCTTGTTCGCATTTCCGAGCAGAACCAAAAGTATTTAGACTTTAACTGGAATGAAATTCTCCACAATTACGATCCTTCCTTTCGATCTCTCATCTGGTCCTCCATATTTACCAAAATATTAAGGCCTTTGATAAGGAAGTGGAGATCAGAAGGCAAAGGAGTAGCTATTTATCTGGATGACGGGCTCATTTGGGCTTCTTGCAGGAACGAATGCAACGAATTGTCTCAAAGTGTCAGAAAAGATCTCAAGGACTTCGGATGGTTCGAAGCAAAAGAAAAATCCAACTGGGATCCGCATTCAAAAGTTAAATGGTTAGGTTTTGAAATAAACTTGAACAGTTTCGAGATCTCGATCTCACTGAAAGGATAGAGAGAGCTTCCTCTATACTTCAGCGCATGTTACGTGAAAAAGCTCCATCTTTGCTCACAAGAATGAGATGGGAAGGATCCTTGGCTTCCATGAATTTAGTGATTTCAGATAAGGACAAGAGGCGAACCAGAGCCATGACGACGGCCATAGCAGAGGCCCAATCTAGTGAGTTTTCGTTGAGTTATAGATGGTCATTGTCAGCACTAGAAAAACGAGACATAGTTTTCTGGGTGGATCGATTGAAATCAGTGAATGTCAGCGTCATTGTTTCCACGAAATGATATACCTACACTTCATTTCATCATCGAGGTAGATGCTTCGGCACACTCACCGTAAGTGGGAGCAGTGTTGATAGCAGACTAGCAGAGAACTATGGGCCATTCATTTTTACTTTATTTTCATTTTTACTTTCGGGCCCACTTCATCAGGAAATATTTTCATGAGATCGGACAATCAAGCAGCGTGTCGAATTCACAAGGTGGGTAGCATCTTACCGAGTCTGCAGCAACAGGCTGAAGACATCTGGAATTTAGAAAACTCGCTGATGTTTGATCATGTTATGATACAATGGATCCTAGGGAGCAAAATACCCTAGCAGATAGAGAAAGTAGGGAAATTGATTTTGACAGTTGGGGAATAAGAACAAAACGGCACATAAAGTGCAAAAATAAGTTACTTTTCTGCGAAGTGGATATGTTCGCGAATGATTTGAATGGTAAATGTGGGAGGTACTTTTCCAGAAGCTGGTGTCGTTTTATCTACGGAATCGTCGCATTTCAGTCAACACGACGTGTTTCGAGGATATCTGTTTTGGTGAGTTCGCACCTCTCGTTTAATTGCAAAGACGTTGTCATGAGCAAAGCATTCTCACCCGTTGGCATATTGCAGGGTGCGCCGAAATTACTTGCTCAAGTTTCCGCCCTTGTAACAACTGTAAAACAGTACATTGAGGGTTTGTTTTCTAGTGGAAGTTTACGAATGAAATGCCATTGCCGTATCCGGCTTCACGACTCAAAGTGTCTATTTCGGACCGAGCTTAAGCATTTAAGTTGCGAGGAGAGTCATCACCGTCCCATAGGTGCTCAAAAAATTTCTTCTCAACGGTGAGCAGGTTCCCTCGTCTGGGCTGCGGCTGGGTGCTGTTGTTAGGAGCAGGCCTTGCTCTCTAGAAAGCTCACGACAAAATATTCCACTCTGTTGAAGTAAGTACTTTTGATTGACCGAATTGAGCGGTGGTGAGACCGGGCTGGTGTTCTTGCATGCTGCAATGTCACCTTCGTTCTACCATCTACTCTGCACCCTGCAGAAACATGAGCGGTCCAGGTTCATTGTGGAACCTGTTCAGGAAGAAGTGATGTGTTAGTCAGCACACCTTCCAGGTTACCATCTGCTTTGGTTCGAGTATCCTCTTTGATAAAACAAGTGGGGACACGACTTCATGGCTAATCGCAAACCAAACCATGATTTTGTTGCTTTTCCGTAACATTCACGAATTCTCCATCTATCGTCAGCTTCCACCGTCCTAGGCAAAGTGCTCCATCATTTTGACGATCGGAGGTTGAGTTCACTTGAACGGCATTTCACCAAGAAAGACCATCTCTCGGTGGCGCGCCGACGTAATCTTCGGAAAATGTTCTTGAAGTTCTCGCACGGTATTATCTTTATGGATGATGCATGGAGCGCGGCATTTTGGCAGCTTTATTACAATGAAAGCGGTACCTTCTCTCGGCAGTATGACAGCTTGAGGGATAGCTTTTATCTAGCTTTTTGACTATGTTTGTTAGCGACCTCGTCGGGTTGGAGGGCACCATATCTCGCACCACTCTAATTTTTAATTTTTCATTTTTCGTGGAGGTTGTAGCTGGGGGTGTTCACCATTCTCAGCGTTATTCCATATTTTCGGAGTCCTTTCATTTAATGAAAAACTCACAGTTAGGTCACGTACTAGCAGCAGGAGGGTTTACATGCGCTATCAAACCTCTTCGGTATTTGCGACCAAGTCCAAAACGAACCAGGCGCGGCGATGTGGTACAGCGTCGTTCAATATGAATGGCGGATCAGAGGAGCGCGTTGTTCTCAATAAGCACATATTATGCGCAGTGAGCATTAATAGTAGTTACCTGTTTGCTTCTCAGTCTACCAAGCTACCTTTGAGCTCATCAACCGTCTCAAAAAGATCGCAACAATTGTTCTCCAGCGCGGGTATTAGTCACAAAAACTACACCACGCATAGCTTTCGAGGAGGCGCAGCATCTACGGCCTTGAAGCAGGGATTTGATAGTTCTCAGGTTATGCAGATGGGAAGGTGGGTCCTTTAAAGCATTTTAGGCTTACGTTTGTCCTACCGCTGTTGATCTAGATGTCGAATGCTGTGCCATGCATTGGGCAATCATTTGTGTATTTGACATGTATCTACCTTGCACATATTTCTAAAGAGACATCTCAGGTTTCTCGATGAACAGTGTATGCGCAAATATTGCATTATTAACGCCAACTTTCATCATATCAATGGAACGCTGCCACATATACTCACTGACAATAAACCTTCACTACTTTACAAATCCTAGTATCGAAAGCTATTTATGTCGTAGTAACGATGAACGGAGATATAGTGTACATTGTAAATACTGTGAATTAAGTTACCAATAAGAAGCTCAATTGAATGCATAATTTCTTCATATGTTGCATAGGAATAACGCTAACATAGTTAGACTGAACCAACAAGTCTTCTCACAACTCATTAGGGAAGAAGGCAAGCGTAAGGCTGTTGTCAGCCTAGCACCGGCCTTACGCCTGCCTTCTTCCCTAACAAATCCGACACTAGAGGACGGTTGGATTCGCATAATCTGACATCGGCCTAAAGGTGGCGATACGAGCGAGAAACGGGTGTCACATTGTATACCATCATGCCTATTATGAATATTAGAGAGATTACGAAGTCCGATGAGTGACCCGCAGCGTAACCAGAGTCAACCCTGCGTTGCGCAGTTCGCAACGGCACGTTGAGAGATCCTCAACGCACGCTGTATGGGCGGAGACGCAGACGGCTCGAGCATGCGAGTGTGAATGTTCGCGCGAGAGAACGTGTCTAATCGGGCGAAACTGCGCAACGTGGCCGTTGAGAACTGCGCAACGCAGGGTTGACTCTGGTTAACCCGTGACTGGTGGGCGTGCGCATGCTACGTGTCATCAGTTTGAATGCGACGTGCCCTTTTCGTTTTTCCGTGTGCACTCCAGGGCGACAAAGTGGACGTTATAGTATCCGTAAGGAGCGTCTGTGCTATGTACAGATAGAGCATGGGGGTACATAGTTGAACATGCCGGCAGGGGCTTGGCGGCGCTTGGGTCCTTTGCCGCGCGCCGAATAGTGGCGCCGCAGTGGTTTCGAAGAGCGCGGCGAGCGCTACGTGCTATTTTGGATAGCTGCCCAAGGGGGCTTGTGGTGTGTGAGGCATTGTGAACCGCCGTGCAAAGGCATTACTCCTGCTCCCGTTGACATCGGAACCGCGCGGTACACAGAGTAGTTTTAGCGCGCCGCCTCTTAGTAATGAAGTGGATTAGCAGTAACGCGCACTCCAGCCGTACTAACCGGCTTGTATTATAAAGGGGGTATCTTCCGGTCAAGCGCTCGCGTCGCGCGTCGAGACCGGCAGGACCAAGGTCAGTAACGACGAAGTTGCAGCGCGCAGTGATTTCGCATCAACTAAATAGAATACCTCGATTCCGAGAAGACGGAAAGAGCGTTGAGTGGAGACCACACATCACAAGCGAAGACGGCCATGAAATGAAAAGGTAGACGCTTTTTTCTTGGCCGTCGTCACTTGTGGTATGTGGATAGCTTCAGGACATTTGTTTGGTGCACGCCAAACGTGGAGCGCAAGCCTGTCAAAGCACAATAGAATGAGTGCTTAGCATTTTATGAGATTTCTGGTCGCACCACTGTACCTATGAAACGGACAATGGATTTACGACGAAATCACGCAATCATGTGACGCGGGTGGACATTTCAAGGTAATATCGCATGAGCTGACTGGGTTTCTGAAAAAAAAAGAATTTATCAGCACACGTATTGCCTTTTTTAATCAGCCGCCCTAAGTATTATGCGTTGCGAGAACTAATGAAGAGGTGCAACACGCAACGAAGAACTATGAAGAAGTGGCAACACCAAGTGACTTTGAAGATGATGCTATAAAGCCTCGCTACGCAACTCAGCCTCTCAAAACAGTAATCTCAATACTAAAGTGAGCACTGAATACACATAGTGACATAAAACTTAAATCCATCGTTTGGAGGATTCTTCATGTTGCGACGCTTCGCATTTCTCGCTCCTAATGCACTCGCCATTATGTCGAACGTATCCCTCCACACATTGGCATGCTGGTGGATGACACTCACCATCGCATTTTTTCTGAATGGAATTAATCTCTCATTGTACACATTGTTCTTTATTTCGCCTTTTCAGAACACCTTTCGTGGACAGGAATTTTATTGCACAAGTCAGCTCGTTATCCTTCGTCAGTGCATTGCACAGCACCGATCTGATCGTTATAGGAGAGGTTCAGTGTCGCCACTATAGCGTTGTGGAAAGGTAAAGGTACGAGGGGTTGAATCGCTATGCCTTTGTTGGAAATATAGGCAAAAAGTGCGACAAGGCACCCGAGTGAGGGGAAGTAAACAGCTGCATAGAAAACACTAAGATTTCTCACAAGCAATATGAGACTCATTTACTATTGCTATTAGAAATTGTGGCTCCTATATGCAGCTCAGCATTTCGAAAAGCGTGCTTACCTCTAGTCGCAGCGGCGGAGAAAGGAATCGCGGCAGCTGCCATAGAACCAGGTTGTTGTAAGATGTGACAGTGGGGTGGAGTGAATGTGGTCAGAGGACCTAATACTTGATATGTCGCATAGCATTTTCATAGATCGTATTTTGCTTTAGCCAATTAAGAAATCACATTTCTTCAGATTTTTTACCAGACGAACTTGTTTATGAGGATGGTCTCAACGAATCTCTTGTGCACGGGTGAAATGCCTCAGCTATTAAAGAGGAATTTAAATGCGTGAGCATTTGTGTTAATTCACACTGGTCAGTGCACTCACACCTGGGATTTCGTAGACAAAACTCTCAATAATGGTTCGGAATCACTTGCAGTACAAGTCGCTCACATGAGAATCTACACTCACCGTTAATGGTTCACAAGTCCTTTCGCAAGTAGCACAGATTTTGAACTCTTCGTGTGGAGCACAGCCTGAAA